GGTCGAGGCTGCGGTGGCCGGGAGCGGCCACTGCACTCCAGTCTGGGCGACAGAGTGAGATTCCAACTCAAAAAAAACCCAAAAAAAAACCATGCTCTGGTATATAAGTTTCAGTTAACAATGTTTTGTGCAAAGTGAGAATTTTATCTATTTCTCTCCAGATACAGACAGATAATTTTCAGATAATGAGGAAAATCTGAATATGGATGAGATATTATATATATATATGGTTTTCTTTTGTTTGTTTGTTTTGAGTCACAGTCTCACTTTGTTGCCTAGGCTTGAGTGCCGTGGCTCACTCATGGCCATTGCAGCTTCAACCTGCTGGGCTCAGGCAATCTTTCTGCCACAGCCTTCCAACTAGCCGGAACTACAGGCATGCGCCACCACGTCCAGTTAATTTTTTGATTTCTTGTCGCACCATGTTGCCCAGGCTGTTCTTGAACCCCTGGGCTCAGGCAATCCTCTCGCCTCTGTCTCCCAAAGTGCTGGGATTACAGGCTGAGCCACTGCATCTGGCTAAGAATATTTTTATTTTTAAAGGATGCATGTTGAAATATTTAGGGATGTCGGGCACAATATTTGGAAATATACTGTACAATATCTAGTATAGTTCAATTTTAACCTTTTCCTAACTACACACATTTTTCTCCAAGATTTATACCTTATCAGAGGTGATCAGAGATCGTGGTTCAAAGCTTGATGCACCAGAAATGTGGGCTAATGCTGCAGCCAATGCATCCACTGCCCCTTTCTCTTCTATTAGTCTCTGAGCTGATGGTCGGAAAAAATCAACAGCAGCATAAGAAACAGAAGCCAGAGACCTATGGTTTAAAAACAGTAAATTTTCTTGGTCAAAACACAGGGGGAAGAAAATGAAAGATAAGAGAATGAACGGGAAAAGAAAGAGTAACATTTTCATATTTTAATATAACTAAATGTCTGCTGGTAAAACAGGTGATTAAAATTTTCTGATATTTGAACTAGGAGAGCTTAAAGATGAATAGCCTAATTCAAAAGAAAAAATTATTCAGCAAGGTCAGAAAGCATACCTGATTGCATCCATGCTTTTAGATTTAACTAAATCCATTGTAGAAGGAACACCTACACGTTTAAAAGTAATTCCCTGAAAATGAAAGAATTACATTAAAGAAAAATGGAAGTCTTTACAATTAATTCCTAAATTAATCAAGCTTGTAGAATTTCCACTTCTTGGTCTTAAAGATTTCCAAGCCCTAGCAGATTAAAAGATGTTCTTTCTAATAAATAATCAATTACATATATTAGAAAGAGAAAAATTTTTTGAATTGCCCCGTGTTAAATCATGAAATTTCACTTACAAAACAAATCTTATTCAAAGAAAAAAAAAGTATAAATCTATTATGTTTTTTTTTGTTACCCTATCTCCATTTTACAAAGCATATAAAACAGAATGTAAAACCCAATAATAAAAATAGGGCTAGGCATGGTGGCTCATGCCTGTAATGACAGCACTCAGCAGGAGAAGCACTTGAGGCCAGGAATTCAAGTTCAGCCTGGGCAACACAGTCAGACTGCCTCTACAGAAAAATTTTGAAAAATTAGCTGGACATGGTGGCGCATGCCTGTAAATCCTGGCTACTTGGGAGGCTGAGACAGGAGGATCACTTCACCCCAGGAGTTCAAGGTTGCAGTTAGCTGTGATCATGCCACTGCACACCAGCCTGGGTAAAAGAGCAAGACCCTATCTCTCCAAAAAAAATTTTTTTAAATTTCTTAAGTAAAATAAAATATGGCCAGGTGTGGTGGCTCAGCCTGTAATCCCAGCACTTTGGGAGGCCGAGGAGAAGACTGCCTTAGCCCAGAGGTTTGAGAACAGTCTGGGCAACTTGCTGAGACCTCGTCTCTACAATAAATCACAAAAACTAGCCAAACGTGGTGGCGTGCGTCTATACTTCCAGCTACTTGGAAGGCTGAAGCAGAAGGATCGCCTGAGCCCAGCAGGTCAAGGTTGCAGTGGCCATGAATGTGTCACTGCACTCCAGTCTGGGGGACAAGAGTGAGACTCCAACTCAAAAATATAATAAAATAAAATAAATATAAAATAAAATAAAAACAGGAAAAATGTGAAATACCACAAAAAACCAGACCATAGAAAATGTACAATTTCTTATAGAAACTGACTACTGTACCTTTACTCAATATAATCTTAACTATTACACAAAGACAATATTACAGTCACTCATTTACAATGCTGGCCTAAGAGACACTGAAATTATAATGCATTTCTGACTTTAGTTATCAAGAGAGAAATTCAAGAAAAAAAATGAGGAGGTCCGCTCTTCTGTCTTCACAATAAAAGCTGTATTAAAACAAAGTCTTGCAGCTAATATAAATTTGGATCTCCACATGCTTCACATCCAAATGCAGCTTAGACTGAGAAAAGTTATAAAGACCTATTTGTGAGAACAAATATAAAAAGAGCTCTCTCTAAGGCACCATTTAGATAATAAGCCTAGATTAATTTAACTCTACTTACTGCTTTCTGTTCCACATATCTTAGTTGACCTCTTTCTCTTGGTTGATAAAAACATATACAAATCCCGGTTCGGCCAGCTCTACCTGTGCGTCCAGAGCGATGTATGTAGGACTCAACATCCTAAAAATATAAGAAGTAATACTTCTTAAAAATCTGTCAAGTTGCAGGCATTCCAGCATCCAAATAATCATGCTAATAATAATAATACAATTTTTATTTCAATCCTGTTGCTCTTGTCAATTCATATGCATGAATTTTGGAGTAAAGGGGATATCATTTTTTTTAATATTAAGAATATTTCTTTTGAGCCAAATTTGAGTGACTCTATCCCGTGGCACCATACCAATAGGTCCTGAGAACATATGCCCAAAATGGTTGAATTACAGCTTGGCTTTATATATATTTTTTAGAGAGACAGATATTGTTGCCTTGTGAAGGTGCAGTGCAAAACCCATGAATTCTTTGGCCTGCTTCTAAAATGAATTTCAGAGCAGCCAGCAAAGTTTTCAAGCAAAGCTGATTTAGAAAGTAAATTATACAGAAATAGAGAGAGAGAGAGAGAGAGAGAGAGAGACAGACATAGAGAGAGATTGATTAATTCACCTCCCTAAGGTTGTGGAGGGGGCCAAAGTTAAGAAAACACAGCAGCCATAGCTCAGAGACACATGGGGACAGCAGAGCTTAACAAAGCAATGGCCAGGGATATAATTTAAAATCTTTTAATCCACCTCATCCCAGGGCTATATACAGAAACTATTTATAATTCCTTTGCATGATTTTGCTGCTCCATGCTTCAAATCCAAATAATAAAGTCAGTCATTTACAAAGGTATCAGATTCCCATCAATTTATCATACTAACAAAAAATGGCTAAGAGCAAGAACAGATGACATATTTCACACATCCCAAGCAATACCCTATATGTAAAATGGAAATTTAAAAAACTGCTTTTATTTTCATCAACTCAAATCCCGTTTCCTACCTGAGGAGGAGAACTTTGAATCACCAAGTCAACCTCAGGAATGTCCAAACCACGGGCAGCCACATTTGTTGCCACCAAAACTTTAAAACTACCTTCTCTGAAGCCTTTCAATGTAATTTCTCTTTGTGACTGTGCAATGTCCCCATGTAAACACTGGGCATTCTATTTGAAAAAGAGAGAAAAAATTAAGTATACAGCTCATACTTGCAACTAATAACATCCTGACACCATCTAGCTTGTGCTCCTTTTGTGTCGTTTTTAAATCTTGTTCCCTGATCTTACAACAATGTATGTTTACTGTTTTTCGTTTGTTTCTTTGTTTGTTTGTTTTTTGAGTTGAAGTCTCACTCTGTCACCCAGACTGGAGTGCAGTGGCCGCTTTTGGCCACCGCAGCCTCGACCTGCTGGACTCCGACGATCCTTCTGCCTCAGCCTTCCTAGTAGCTGGAACTACAGGAGTGCGCTACCACGCCCAGCTAATTTTTTTTTTATTTATTGTAGAGATGAGGTCTCGACAAGTTGTCCAGGTGGGTCTCGAACCCGTGGGCTCAGGCAATTCATTCATCTCAGCCTCCCAAAGGCGCAGGATTACAGGCTGAGCCACCGAGCCCGGCTTGTGTTTTTTTTTTTAATCAAACATTATAGAGAATATTTGACATAAAACATAAAAGCTTCCTTAATATCAGCCTCTTGAAAATAATTCACTGCTAACAGTTTGGCGGATATTCTGTCCGATTTTTTGCTTGTTTGAGTAGGCAATCTCACTCTTGCACAAGCTGAAGTGCCATGGTATGCTCATAGCTCACTATAGCCATGACATCTTGGGCTCAGGAGATCTTTATACCTCATCCTCCCGAACAGATGGAACTACAAGTTGTTTTTTTTTTCAGATACACACATTCTCTCACACTAACGACATATATTAATATATAGTATTTATAAAAATGGGATATTATATAGGCACCGTTTTGTAACCTACTTTATTTATTTATTTATTTTTTGAGTTGGAGTCTCACTCTATCGCCCAGACTGGAGTGCAGTGGCTGCTCCTGGCCACTACAGCCTTGACCTGCTGGGCTCTGGTGATCCTTCCGCCCCAGCCTTCCAAGTAGCTGGAATTACAGGCATGCGCTACCATGCCCGGCTGATTTTTTGATTTATTGTAGAGATGAGGTCTCGCTGCCCAGGCGGGTCTCGAACCTGTGGGCTCAGGCAATCCACTCACCTCAGTCTCCCAAAGGCACGGGATTATAGGCTGAGCCACCAAGCCCGACTTATTTATTTTTTTGAGTCAGAGTCACACTGTCGCCCAGCCTAGAGTGAAACTGCTGGGCTCAGGTGATTCTTCTGCCTCAGTCTTCCAAGTAACTGGAACTACAGGCATGCACCACCACACCGGCTAATTTTTCGTGATTTATTGTAGAGATGAGGTCACACCAAGTTGCCCAGGCTGGTCTCAAATCCATGGGCACGGGCAATCCTCTCATCTCGGCCTCCCAAAATGCTGGGATTACAGGAGTGAGCCACCACACCCGGCCTACTTTATAAATTTAGTATATCTAAGCCACTTACCCACCACATCTATAGGTACACATCTACTTAATTTTTTTTTTAGTTGGAGTCTCACTCTGTTGCCCAGACTGGAGTGCAGTAGCACTCTCCTGGCCACCGCAGCCTTGACCTGCTGGGCTCCGACGATCCTTCCACTTCAACCTTCCAAGTAGCTGGAACTACAGGCACGTGCTACCACGCCCAGGTAATTTTTGATTTATTGTAGAGATGAGGTTGCGCCAAGTTGTCCAGGTGGGTCTTGAACCCGCTGGCTCAGGCAATCCACTCACCTCAGCCTCCCAAAGGCGTGGGATTACAGGCTGAGCCACCAAGCCCGGCTCATCTACTTAATTTTTTAAGACTGTATGCAGTTTCTCCATATGGATGCAGGAACATAAGCAATATCCTACTGATGAACATTTAGGTTGTATCCAAATTGTCACCTTAAGAAACAATGCTGTCATGAATAATAACTTTGTATTTATATTTCTGGATGCCTCAGTATTATGTATATTTCAGTAGGATACATATCCAAAAGTTAATTTTCTGATAAAAAATTATGAGCAAACTTTATTATCACCAAAGTGCATTATTAAAAAAAAAGTTGTAAATGAGCCGGGTGTGGTAGCACGCGCCTGTAGTTCCAGCTACTTGGAAGGCTGAGGCAGAAGGATCACGAAAGCCCAGCAGGTCGAGGCTGCGGTGGCCAGGAGCATGCCACTGCACTCCAGTCTGGGTGACAGAGTGAGACTCCAACTCAAAACAAAACAAAACAAAACAAAACATTCATAACAGTGATTTAACCCCAACAGTATCTAAGCCTTAGTATCTAAGCTTAGTGCATACATGAATGAATAAACTGGGCATCTGCTATGTGCCTGGGATTATACCAGGTTCTGGAACATTAATAAAGAAATGGTCCTAAGGAAGACAAGCAGACAGGCATCTTCTATACAGTATGATAAGTGCTAGCATAGGTATAAATGCAAGGTGCTACAGGAATACTAAAGAGGACAAGCTAGGTCAAGCATAGTGGCTCACGTCTATAGTATCAGCACTTTGGGAGGCCAAGACAAGAGGACTGCTTGAGCCTAGGAGTTTGAGACCAGCCAAGGCAACAGTGAGCCCTCATCTCTAAACAAATTCAAAAATTAGCAGGGTGTGGTGGAAGGATCACCTGAGCCCAGGATGCGGAGGCTGCAATAAGCCCTGCCCTGATCATGGTACTGCATTCCAGCCTGAGAAAGAGTGTGAAACTCCAATGCAAAAAAAAAAAAAAAAAAAGAGGACAATCTAACTCAATTTTGTTTGAAGACAGGCAGCAATAAAGCTGACATCTGACATAATAGTGAGCTAGCCATTAGGTAAAAGGAGCAGGAGGCTAGGAGTTCCCAGTAGAGTAAATATCATACATAAATAGTGTGTCTGGGAAATTACAAGTATTTGAGCACTGCTGAAACATAAAGTGAAAAGGGGGAAGTAGTGAGAGATGAGTTTGGAAAATGACATGAACTTTTTATCCTGAGGACAATGTGGAATAATTGAATGACTGCAAGGGAAAGTATCATGAATATATTTACATTGTACAAGGAATATTCTGGCTACAATGTATATGTAACACACTAGAAAAAGGCAAATCAAAAGATGGTAGACCCAGTTAGCAGGCTGTTAGAGAAACTCAGAAAAGATATCAGTGGCGATCCAGGCTGGTTTTGAACCCCTGGGCTCAAGCAATTCTCTCACCTCCACCTACCAAAGGACCTGGCTTAAATTTTTTAAATAACTTATTTTCTATTTTAATATTGTTTATTATCTAAAAATTTTGTATTTTTATTTTTTGAGTCAGGATCTCATTCTGTTTCCCAGGCTGTAGTGCAGTGGCATGATCACAGCTCACCACAGCCTCCAACTCCCAGGGTCAAGTGATTCTCCTGCCTCAGCCTCCAGTTGCTTGGACTACAGGTGCTTGCCACTATGCTGGCTAATTTTTTAAATTTTTTGTAGAGACAAATTTGGCTATACTGCCTAGGCTAGTCTCAGACTCCTGAGCTGAAACAATCCTCCCATCTTGGCCTCTCAAAGTGCTAGAATTACAGCCACCACACCTGCCCTATTTATTAATATAGTTTTATTTAAATGTGTTTTAATTGTATTTTTAAAATAAACTTTAAAAATTTTATTAAAAAAAAAAGAGAGATATCAGTGGCCTCACTAAGGTAGTGGCAATGACCACCTATTTATTCAACAAATATTAGTGACCTACAACATATGGGGCACTAAGGATAAAATGGCGAACAAAAATAAGAACGCCTCTGTCTTTATGATCTTTATACCCTTTATGGGGTAACGGATGTTAGTGAAATAATTATGTGTGCAACTAAATTTAGCCAACAAGTGTAATGGATGATACATGGGTCTAAGAGGCAATGAGCCTTTATAAGGGAACAATCTGACCTAGTTTGGGACAAGAAAGGATTTCCTAAAGTGATGCTTTGAACTGAGATCTGAAGCATGAGTAGGAGTTGCTAGGAAAGGTAGGCTACAAATTCCAGAGCCCTGTGGTGAGAAAGCACGGCATGTATGGACAGAGTACAAAAAAATGACAACAAAGTATGGTATGAGGTTGAAAAGGTTAACTAGGGGCCAGGTTATAAATGAATTCAATAAGTATTAGTTTATGAAATTGAGAGGACCTGGTAAAGGGAGGGGAAATCAGGTATAAAGGACAGGCCAGGTGTGACAGCTCACGCCTATAATCTCAGCACACTGAAAGGCCAAGGTAGGACTGCTGGAGCCCTGGAGTTTAAGACAAGCCTGGGTAACATAGCAAGACTTCATCTCTAAAAAAAAATAAAAATAAAAAAATTAGCTGGGTGTGATGGTATGTTCCTGTAGTCCCAGTTACTTAGGAGGTGAAGGCAGAAAGATCGCCTGAGCCTAGGAGGTTGAGGCTACTGTGAACTGTGACTGTGTCACTGCACTACAGCCTGGGTGACAGAGTGAGACCCCCAATTCAAAAAAAGGGAAAGAAACATATTATTCATGATTCCCAGATACTGAGTTTCTGCAACAGGAGACAGAAATAAATGGGTCATTTAAAGCCACAGGAAGGCAGGGCGTGGTGGCTCAGACCTATAATCCCAGCACTTTGGGAGGCTGAGGTGAGAAGACTGCCTGAGCCCACATGTTTGAGACAAGCCCGGGCGACTTAGGGAGACCTCATCTCTACAATAAAACAAAAAACGAGCTAGGTGTGGTGACACGTGACTGTAGTTCCAGTTACTTGGAAGGCTTATCTGAGCCGAGCAGGTCCAGATTGCAGTGGCTGTGAGCATGCCACTGCACTCCAGCCTGGGTAACAGAATAACACTCCGACATACACACACACATACATACATACGTACATACATAAATTTAAGTCATAGTAGATAGAGTCCAAAATTACTCTGTACTTAACTGGATGGCCAACGATGAGGAAAAAAAGTAGAAGGTAATATATAAATTTGTGGTTTGGGCTATGGGCAGATGTGTTATTCAATATTAGGGAGTGTTGAAGACAAAGTGGGCAACAGGAGTATAGAAAGGAATGAATTTGGTTTTAGGAACATAAT